AGTTTGTACGGAATGATATTTCAGGGTTAGGATATGCTAATGGCACACTCATAGATGTATATAAGATTATCGTAGCTAGGGTACATGTGTACAGTTTGGGGCTAGGGGTATTATTGTATACAATATGACTGTAACAATTTATATGAATACGAATGAATAAGGGAGGATGTTCTTTAGGTTCACAAGTATATATATATATATATATATATATATATATATATATATATATATATATATATATATATATATATATATATATATATATATATATATATATATATAAGCGTATAGGGACGTACCGTATATGACGCAACCATGGAAGATTTAATATTAAGCAAGGTGATTAGGGTTAGGGTGTAATAATAATGAAAATAAAAATAATAATAATTGGTGTAAGTGTAGCGTATGAATGTAATTGGGATTTACCACAATGTTGTAGGAACTAAATGGGTCTTCCGGAACAAAGCAAACGAAGAAGGCGTGATTGTTAAGAATAAAGCAAGGCTCGTTGCAAAAGGATACTCTCAAGAAGAGGGAATAGATTTTGATGAAACCTTTGCACCGGTAGCCAGACTCGAAGCAATAAGGATTTTCCTAGCCTACGCCGCACACAAAGATTTCATCGTTTATCAAATGGACGTGAAAAGCGCATTCTTGAATGGACTACTCGAAGAAGAAGTTTATGTCAAACAACCCCCATGTTTTGAGGTAAAAGGCGAAGGTGACAAAGTCTACAAACTTAAAAAGGCATTGTATGGGTTGAAACAAGCACCTAGAGCTTGGTATGATACCTTGTCAATGTTCTTGATAAGCTGTGGATTCACCAAAGGCCTTGTTGACAAAACTCTCTTTAGAATTCAAGATGGTGATCATATTTTATTAGTGCAAATATATGTTGATGATATTATTTTTGGAAGCACGAACAATTCTTTGTGTGAGAAATTTTCGAAGCTTATGCAGAATAAATTCGAAATGAGCATGATGGGTGAATTGAATTATTTCTTGGGCTTACAAGTTAAACAATTGAAGGAAGGAATATTCATCAATCAAGCAAAGTACACCCGCGACTTGATAAAGAAGTTTGGCCTTGATGGAAAATCATCGATCAAAATTCCAATGAGTACATCAATAAGGCTAGACAAGGACGAAGATGGAAAAGATGTCGATCAAACAAAATATAGAGGAATGATTGGTTCACTACTATGCCTCACTGCAAGCAGGCCGAACATTTCTTATGCTGTGGAAGTGTGTGCAAGATTCCAAGCAAATCCAAAAGAAAGCCACCTCACCGCAACAAAGAAAATCATAAGATACTTGAAGGGCACAATCAATGTTGGATTGTGGTATCCTAAAGGTACAGATTTTACTCTAACTGGTTTTTCAGATGCGGATTTTGCAGGTTGCAAAATAGACAGAAAAAGCACCTCCGGAACTTGTCAATTCTTGGGAGGAAGGCTTGTTTCTTGGTTTAGCAAAAAGAAAAATTACATCGCAACTAGTACCGCCGAGGCCGAATATATTGTTGCAAGAAGTTGTTGTGCTCAAATTTTGTGGATGAAGCAACAATTGAAGGATTATGGAGTGAATTGCGACGATATTAGCATATTTTGTGACAATACAAGTGCAATCGCCATCACTCACAATCCGGTGCTTCACTCAAGAACCAAACATATCGACATACGACATCATTTCATAAGGGGTCATGTTGAAAAGAAAGATCTAAAAATCGAGTATATCCCTACGGAGAACCAAGTTGCAGATATTCTCACGAAGCCTTTATGCGAAACAAGATTTTCTACCTTAAGGCATGAATTGGGAATGTTGGAAATGAGCTAATAATCACTGAACTTAATCTCTTGATCTAAAATGATACATATGCTCAAAATATGTGTTTTACTTGTTTATATGCTTTTATATGTTTTGCGTGTTTGCATATTTCTATGTACTTAATTTCTACGTAAACTAATTTGCTAAATGTGTTAAGTTTTTTTATTTTTTATTATTTATTATTTATTATTTTTTTTTATGAATTTGTGTTTAACGTGATTTTATATGCCATGCAAATTAATTTGACAAAATGTGCAGTTTTATTTGATCTAATTTGTTTTTGAATTGCATGTTTTAATCGTTACTTGGACCGCACGTTATGTTCATGTTTGTGTTAATTTGTTTGCATGAACAATTTATATAAATATATATATATATATATATATATATATATATATATATATATATATATATATATGTTACTTGACTATTTGCGAAATGTGGTTTATAATTTGGTTTACAATTTGCATATTTATGTGCTAATTTTTTTTAGTGATTAGAATAATTTTTACTAGTTTCTAAATAATTGCTTATGTGTTTAAGAAATTTGTTTACTAAAGTGTTAAACCGTGTGTATGTATATGTTATTTGGAAAGTTTTGTCTAATTTGTTTAATTTTCCAATTTTTTTTTAATTGGGAGTTACCGTGTATATGCATGATTATATATGGATATGATTTAATTGCTAAATTTTTAAAACTCCATATATGTTTCGAAATTGCATGTGAGATTTACGAAAATTTGTGTAATTTGTGTGATCATATTTATGTGAAATTATGTGTTTATCTGATGTGTACGTGTTTTTGAGAAAAAAAAGGAAGAGATCAGATTAGATTGAAACCTCCTCCCTCTATACCCAACCCATAAAATCAAATCCCATTAAAACTCTCCACCTCTCAAAACCCACACCCCTCAAACTTCCACCCATAATTAATCCCACAAAAATCTGACCCTCTCTCTCGTAAATCAGATCCACTCTCCCGAAAAATCTCCTCCCAAATCCATACTCTCTCTCAAATCTTCAAGAATAATCAGAGGTGTCCATTCATAATCTTCTTACTCTATACACCTTACGTATATAGGGTACCTAAGAGACTGTGAAGCATTTAATGCTCCTGTCTGCTATTGATAATTCCTCTTCTCTTTCCTAGTGACACCTTAACCAAAAGACACCTCCACCCCTAAATGTGCCTTGTCACCACACCTATTCTAAGGGTCTCAATTGAGATTTCTCTCTGAGAATTATACCTCATCTTAAATCCTTCTTAAACCATACAAAACCCTTCGTATTCCTCTCAGACAAAAATTCCAGTTCTACCAGGATCAGAAATCTCTCTCTCTCACAAGCTCTCAAATCTCACCGGCGAACACCATGTCTGGAACCAAAGCCATGCAACCCAAAAATCTGCTTATTCTACAACAACAATTGATCGATGGGATGACACTCAATCCGGAGTTTTTCATGATTGGAGCAGTCGACAAGGAAATAGCAAAGAAGATTCTCAATGCTTTGAAGGATTGTGGACTATATGATTTTTTCACTTACAAATATGCTGGAGCTTTTGAAATAGATGTGACTGAGTTCTATCTTCATGCTACTGTGAAGGACAACGTAATTCACTCTAAGGTTGGAAGAACAGATGTTCAAATTTCTGAAAAGGACATCAAGGTTTGCTTCAAATTCCCTGATTCAGAGTTGATGCTAGAAGCTCACCATTATGATGTTCAACCCTTCTGGGATGAAATTCGTGGTCCAAAAGCACATGTAGCTCATGGCTTGACCGAGCCAAAGAACGTGTTGAAACCTGAGTACGATATGCTTATCGAGATGATGTACAAGATCCTTGACAACAAACTTGGAAGTGTGGATGATCTATCTGGAACATCCGTGAGTCTAATGAACGGAATCATGCAAGGAATAAAGTTCAACTGGGCTAAGTACATCTTCAATCGCCTATTATTCTTTGTGAACAGTGCAAAACCTCATGGTAGACCACTTGAAGGAAATCACTTTCTTCATAAAGTTGGGTATGGACTTATTATTGGAGAAATTCTAAGAAAGAAGAATGTACCTCTTAAAAGACACAAAAGTGTTGGAATCTACAGAACACTTTTCAGAAAATTTGGACCTGATTATGGCAAGAAATCAAACCGAAGGAAAGGATCTGAAGGAGGTGGTTCCACAAGTACACCACAAAGCTCTCGAAGAAGGAACAGTAGAACCGTATCAGCAGCGAGTGCATATATGGGTTCTAGCAATCCAAGCAACAGAGATCAAGAAGCCATAAGCTCGGCTATAGCACTTATTCCATTTCAAGAAGTGGCAGAATCTGAAGCTCATGAAGTAGACATACCCGTGATGCCATTTGAAGAAGATACCACCCGAATGGAGTTTGCAGGAGTTGAAGTGCAAGTTTCCAATGACTTGCAAAGGAGAATCTCGAATGAATCTGCAGTTGAAGCTAATGTTGAACCCATTGCGTTCGACACAACACAAATTCGAGATTGAAAATTTGTAAAGCGCTGCACCGAAACTGAGGTTGTAACACAAACAATTTGTAACGCAGTTCGGGCAAACAACCCTAATCTGCGAGGCACTTCTCAATTTGAGAACTTGCCTAAATCCACTAAAAGCTCAATATTTAAAGTACACTGTTTGGAACCTGAAATTACACAATAGAATGATCTTTCCTACCAAACTATTGAAACCTAAACACATGTACTACTTTCTAGGGGAATTTAGTATCCTATTCTCAAAGACTCTCGTACCTCACAAGATTAATGTTGAATGCTTGAGCTCTAAAATAAAGGACATCCCCTATTTATAGTAGCTATTCCTAACAGATTCGTGAATAACAAACTATTCCTAATCAAAATAGAACTAGAAAATCTTCAACAACAAATCCCCTTAGAACTAGTATTCTTCAATAACTATTCCTCTTAGTACTGATATTCTTTTATAGAACTGGAATTCTTTTTGCAAATAACTTTGACAAAATACTTTGAGTCAACATTCTCCCCCTTTGTCAAATTTTTGGCAAACACCTTGGTCTCTGTCTTTCTCCCCCTTAGTTGATGCCACAGTGGTGTTTGATTGATGGTAGATTAATGACAGGTTAGATCACCATCCCATGTGTAGCTTTTATCAGATGATCTTTTCCCCATCATGTTTTTGGTTGTAGACTTTACAATTCTCTTTGGAAAATTCTACTTTGAGTTCATCATCACACAGTTGACTTATACTGATAAGGTTTGCTTTGAGTCCTTGTACCAAAAAGACTCTTGGTAATCTGGGCAGTCCATGGACATTCAAGGTACCACTTGCGATAATCTGTCCTTTTCCTCCATCTCCAAAAGTGACATGCCCTTCATTTTTGTATTGGATATTCTCAAGATAATGTGGATTTCCTGTCATATATCTTGAATATCCGCTGTCAAAATACCAAACACTTTGTTCTTGGCTTGTTTATGAGGTATACGCAACAACTTGTGTTTGTTCCTTTCTTACCCATACTTTCTTGCTGTTATTTTTGCTTTGTACTGCCCAATCTCTGTTGTTTTGTCTGTAATAGAGATCATTTTGTCTTTTGAAGCAGTACGCCTTTATGTGTCCCAATTTGCGGCAGTAATAACATCTGATTCTCCTTCGGTGTTGAAAGTGATGTTGTGACACCTCAGGATTTTCAGAAGAGTGGCTTTCACTGGACGCTGGATTTGGAGATCTAGGCCTTCCATCTAGTGCCTTGATTTCTTGTAACAGTTTGGCCTCTCTGTTTTTAGATTCTAATAATTCATTTTGAGTTTCTTTCAGACGCTTTTCTTCTCTCTCTTTTTCACCTTTTAGAAACTGATTTTCTTGCATGAGCTCTAGATTCACTTTGATGATTTGTTCCCATTTAGCATACAATTGGGTATATGACTCTAGCAGTTCTTGCATATCATTTTCGTTTCCGTTGTCATTCTGATGATTTGCGGTGAATGCTACGAAATTAGTGTTGGTGTCTTCTTCACTATCTGAGTCATCGCTTAGTGTTGCCACATATGTTTTGTTCTTCCTTTTAAAATATGTTGGACATTCTGACTGGATGTGTCCAAACCCTTTGCACTCGTAGCACTGAATTCCTTCAGGTTTTAGACTCTCCATTCCTTTTGAAATAGATTGATTTTTTCCAGTTGGGAAGTTCCCTTGATTGATTGAAGCACTTTTGCTTCTAAATTTGTTGAATTTTTTGAGAACTCTGTTGAAATTCTTTGTTAGGAGAGCAATTGATTGTTCCATGGTTTCAGTATCAATTTCTGGATTCTCTTTCTGCTTTGATTGGAGTTCAATTCCTTTGTCATTATTTTTCCCTTTTTGCAGTATCTCAAGCTCATATGTTTGAAGATTTCCCATTAGATCACTGAGTTTGTAGGTGTTTAGATCTTTGTTTTCTTGGATGGCTGTAACCTTTATCATAAATCTCTCAGGTAGGGAACGTAGGACCTTTTTGACGAGCCTAGGTTCAGGAATAGGTTCGCCTAGGTTAAACGCATCTCCAGCAATCCCTAAAACTCTTGCACTAAACTGTGAGATATCCTCATCTTCTTCCATTTTTAAATTCTCAAACTGTGTTTGTATCATTTGCAGCTTGGATTGCTTAACAGAAGTATTTCCTTCGTGATGATCACATAGTATATCCCATGCAACTTTAGCTATGCCAGTGGTAGCGATTAGTTTGAAAGTATCTTCACTTACAGCTCCATAGATGGCATTCATTGCTTTTGAATTGTAATTATATTCCCTTCGCTCTTCTTCGTTCCATTCTGTTTTAGGTTTTTGATTACCTTTATCATCAACTGGATTCTTCCATTCTTTCTTAACGGCATCCCAAACTCCTTCTCATTGTGCCAAAATATAGATTTTCATTCTAGCTTTCAAGTAGGAGAAATTTGTACCAAAGAGAGCAGGAGGCCTGGTGCTTGACAGTCCTTCTCTAGGAAACTCCATTAGGATCCTGCTAATAACTTAAGCAGTTTGGCTCTGATACCAATTGAAAATTTGTAAAGCGCAGCACCGAAACTGAGGTTGTAACACAAACAATTTGTAACGCAGTTCGGGCAAACAACCCTAATCTGCGAGGCACTTCTCAATTTGAGAACTTGCCTAAATCCACTAAAAGCTCAATATTTAAAGTACACTGTTTGGAACCTGAGATTACACAATAGAATGATCTTTTCTACCAAACTATTGAAACCTAAACACATGTACTACTTTCTAGGGGAATTTAGTATCCTATTCTCAAAGACTCTCGTACCTCACAAGATTAATGTTGAATGCTTGAGCTCTACAATAAAGGACATCCCCTATTTATAGTAGCTATTCCTAACAGATTCGTGAATAACAAACTATTCCTAATCAAAATAGAACTAGAAAATCTTCAACAACAAATCCCCTTAGAACTAGTATTCTTCAATAACTATTCCTCTTAGTACTGATATTCTTTTATAGAACTGGAATTCTTTTTGCAAATAACTTTGACAAAATACTTTGAGTCAACAGAGATGATCCACAATTAATGAAGGAATTAGACCGAGTTCAAGCATGGAAGGAATGGAGACTTGAAAGATATCATTCTTTCATCTCAAAAGTTGACTCAGAATTGATACGAAGTGAAGAATTTGCCTTTGAATGGCTTGGAACTGACTCAATGCTCGAAGCACTAATCATGGATGCAAATCAAATTTATGGACTGAAGCTTCAAGAGAAAAATAGTAAAGGAAAACGAGTGGCCGCAGCAGCATAAGAAAATGTCACTCAAGTCCCTTCTGATAATATCGAAAAGGAGAATGAAGTAAGACTACAGATTGCTCTACACAGATCTTTAAATGACACTCATCGACATCCAGGTGATACTTCAATTAATATAGCCAATGATTTTCTTGAAAATTTTGGAGAAATGGCGAATGAAGGAAGTACACTTGTTGAGGTACCAATTTCAGCCTCTGAAAATCATGATTCTATTCCTGTCAGAGTTCACTGTGCTGAACTTTTGATATCTAAAGTGACCCCTACCAATATTGATATAAATGCAATGGACCCTACAAGGGATGAAGTAAGGGATCAAATTGATGGTGAAATTAGACCCTCAATTGGAGGGGGGGGGGGGGGATGTTTGTATGAAGCGCCAGTGCATGATAACAACCCTATGATGTCACATCTAAGCAACTCTCTGGAAGTCAATTTAAATACAGAGATTATTTCAAGAACAGAGATCATTGCAGAAGACGAAACTAGAATTCAACATCAAGAAGCCGATTCACCTGAAGGAAACTTGCAACTTGTTGAAAACCCAATTCTACCTGATTCACGAAGAAAGTTGTTCAAATCTTTGCACTCTCTGAACATGAGTGGAAGCCGAAGCCGTGAAGAAGATGAAGAAGATTTGTTAACATCACTGTTTGCTAAAGTTACAGAGACAAGTGATGTTGTGTGTCAAAAGATTGGAACTACTCTAACCGAGCAAGGACATCTCTCTTTGCAACATTTTGAGGACACACGAACCAATTTGAAGGAGCTATTGGAACATCAAAACGCTCTGCAAACAAGAATAGATAGAGCTGAAAGACATCTGAAGGGAGATCTCACCGAAGGATTATTGGAAATAATCCAACTCATGAAGAAGGAACGAGAAGCTACCAAGAAGATCAACAATGAAAGACAATTGAGACAAATAAAGGCCATACAAGACCAAGAGACAAGGATAAATCACCTTGTGGTAAAATTATCCTCTATGACTAACAAAATATCTGATTTGCAAGATGTGTCTCTCAAAACACATGATGGTGTCAAACTTGTTAAAGCTAATCAAGAACAAGATTCCAAATCCCTTGGCTTTTTGATTGATAATGCCATAAGGGGGGAAGAAATTCTCAATCATCTGGCTTTACAACAACAGGAATTCATCCTTGGAAGTCAACCACAACAGCCAGTTTTGACCGCCGCACCAACAAAAGGCCGTGGTCAACAATCCCAAGTTGGTTTCGCTCAGTTTGCAAATCCGAGTCTTGGATCAAGCTCATCGAAAGTTGCTGAAACTCGAGGCTGGTTCGAATGCTCAAAAGGAACCGTAACACCACAGAAAATTTGGACATCCGAGAATATGCCAAGTATGGTGAAAAGATGGCCCAAAGCTGATCAAGCTCAATGGATATCTGACAAAAATAATGAAGAAGAAGCGAAAAGGAAGCGAACCGAGATGTGGTACGAGCTTAGAGATCATACTAACAATAATGGTGAAAGTTTGGGATTCCAAAGAAGCTATGAAGAATGGATAGTTTGGTGGGAAGCCGGAGTTCTTCCGGGCACCAATGTTAAAGATGCCTTTGGACAGTACATGGCTGGAAACGTGACCAAGAAATTTGAATGTGAAAAGTTCAAAAATGATATCTGCAAGATGAGAGAACATATCAAGGATATATTGAAAGCTGACATGGGAGTCAAGAAACCCAGAAGGTAATCGGATATGAACTCCTAAAAAATATGGTGTTTTGAATTTCAATATTTTGGAATGATTTTGGCTATAATAAAATTTCCTCTATCGACTAATATGAATAAATATTTCCCTTTGTCTGATCTACGTCTGTTTTGATTTATTTTGGCTATCATGTATTAGTTCGTGAATTAAAAAGACAAGAGTTGTTAAACGCATGCAAAATTGAAAAGATAAAAATTGATTAAAAATTAATCAAGGATGCGTATAAGACTTGTCTGAATTAATTCACAAGTATTTTCCCTAGAATTAATTTTTGTCAAACTCATCTTGGTTTTGTCAAAATAAAATTGAGCAAAAATGAAATTATTTTTCAAAGACTTAAAGCCAATGTTTGAGTATAAGTTATGGCATTATCAAAAAGGGGGGAAATTGTTAGGAATAAATTGTAATAGATTTTGATATGCCATATTGTAAATCGTAGAACCCCAATTTTATTTTGGTTAGACTAGTCGAGTCATAGACCAAGAAAGGGAAAAATAAATTCATTATTTGAGGAAATGGATGAAGAAGAGATAAAGTCTAAAATCAAGAATTTGCCTAAGAGAAAATGGAAAACAAAAGAGGAAGATGTATGGGCATGAAGAAGTTATGAAGACTATCATCCTAAGAAGAAATCTCTCAAGAAATTCAAGAAGAAATCCCTCAAGAAATCCCGAAGAAGAAAGAACGTGACTTGAAGTTTGCATGAAGCTATCTTGAAGATCAAGCATCTATAGAAAGAAAGGAGTACACCAAGTGAAACAAGATGATGACTAAAAGGTTGTACGGACGAGTTGGAAGCTTTAAAAGAAGCCAAGTTTAAATCCACCAGATGAAGTTTGGGCGATGGTTTGGCCGAAGGGAAGCAGTTTGCAAGCAAAAATACTAGTATAAACTATTAAGAGATTAAATTGGAGATTATATTTTTAAGAAGAAGAAGTTGCAGAAGCAAAAATACTAGTCTAAACTAGTAAGGGATTAAATTGGAGATTATATTTTGAAGATAGAAATCCCAAGAGGCGTGATCTACACCAGATGAAGATTTTTGGGATGCCATTTTTGCTAAAACCTCAAGCTCAACTTGCAGAGAATCTCTGACATATCTGCAACGTTATCTTATCCTCTGAAAAAGGCTATACAGCTAGATGAAATTCAAAAATGAGAACGTTTCTTTCCAACGGACGGATTCTCATTACCAGCTATAAAAAGATGAAGATTGAAGCAGTGGAAAGTAGAAGCAAGAATACAAAGAACAAGAATAGAGCTAAACAGAGCATACGAAATTCAAAGAAAGCTT